CCCTAGGTGTGGAGCTGGATGCAACGGTGGGTTTCCACGTGTTGAGTGTTCATACGATCCAATGGCAACAGAGGTTTCAGAAAAACGTGGGGTTATATCCTTGTCTGAACAAGCAGGTGGAGTGTGCGATCCCGAGGCTGATTGGTTCAGTACCACGACTGTAGGAGGATCATGCATCGGTGGTACTATTGGATGTGGTTCACAAGGTGGTGGCTGGCAATGAAGCAAACCCTGAAGTCTGTTTTTCGCCTCATTAACTTGCCGACGGTAGTGGTCAACGGGAAGGCCTGTAGGCCGAGCTAGTCCTGTTCTTAAGTCTGGACCATACCTTGATTGCTCCCTTACCTCTTTGGACACAAACTTACATCCATTACGATCATGGCCTAGTCTTCCACACGCATAACAGAAAGTCCGAAAGTTTTTCGAACTTGTAGGATATCCAGATATCATTGCCTTCTGATGGTCGTTTAAGCCAAAAGCCTTGAGGTAAGGGCTTCGTTGAGTCAACTTCCACTCGGATACGCAAAAAATTGCGATACAATAACAACCCCTCTGTATGAGCTTCTACTCGAACCAATCGCCCCACGTGGTTACCAATGATCTCGCCATTTTTCTTAGTGAGCTTGTTAAAAGGTAGCCCATGAACTTGAACCCAGATCTGGACCCACTTGAAATCAGTTTCTTCCATGGTTTATCCTACGACTAATGGTTAAAGAGCTAACAGAAAACCCATGACAGACCAGGGGCTATCCCTCAAGATTTTATTACGATCTTCCTCATCAGTAAATTGGAAGCGAAAGGCGTTTTCCATCCATGGGGAAATCGAAAACTCACCCCAATTTCGCCAAGCGTTATGGATAATGTTGGTGACGGCATTCCGATTCAATGGTTTTGGGGCCAGTACCTTCCCCAGGAGATAGAAGTGGGAAAGATCCTCATTCTCGCCCGATCCTTCAAGGGACAGACCGTTGAGCTCTGGGGTCTCCAGTGTGGTAGACGCCATAGAGAGGCAAAGATAGAGGTAATGGTGAAAGGGTAGGAGCAGACAGTATTTGGGTTGAAAAGGGAAAGGTGGGTGGCAGAGTGATAAACGGGAGAGAGAAGAAGGATAGAGAGAGAGCGGGTAGAGATTGGATGAATAGGGAGTTGGGGTAGAGGAAGGTTAGGGTTAGACTAAGATAGAGAGAAAGGGAAGCTAAGGTGGGTAACGAGTGGGATGAAAGAATGGAGCTCGGTAAACAGGGATGAAGATACCGGCAACCTGGGATGAGCCCAGAGAGACCGTCCTAGGACAGAGACGCTCTCATCCTAGAGAGAGAAAAAAGAAATCAGTCACATTTTTGTTAGGTTTCTTCACTTGAAATCATGGTTTTTACTTGCCAAAATAATAATAATAATCACTTTGTTTGTTTTCAGTTTTCAAAATTCATTTTTTAGAAAATTTTAGTTTGCGTTTGGTAGAGTTTTATAAATATGATTTAAAAGTATGAGTTGTATTTTGAGTTTGTGAGTTGTGAAATTATGATTTGAGTGTAGAAAATTTGTTTGGTTATGATTTTTGAATAGAGTGTTGAATTGAGTTTTGAATTGAGTGTGAAATTGAGTTTTGAAAGTTTGATGTGACATATGAAATAAGAAACTTTGTTTGGTGATGAGTTTTCAAAATAGTTTTCAAAACTTAATTCAACCTATAATTGATAATCAAACACACAACTCATAACTCGATATCTGTATTTTTTTATCAACAGTCATAACCAAACTATTTTTTAAAATACTCAAATAAAAAAATGATTTTTTTTCAATTAATTGTTTTTAAGTAATTTTTTTGAATAATTTTTTTTCAAATAATTTTTTTTTTCAAATAACTTCTATGTCAATTATTTTATATCAATTAATTTTTCAGTCAATTCATTTTTTAGGCCTATATGAAAATTAAAATTATTAAAAATATTTTAAAATTATTTAGAAAATTAAAATATTAAAAATACTCCGAAAAATAAAATATTAAAAATATTCTGAAAATTAAAATATTAAAAATATTCTGAAAATCAAAATATTTACAATTAAAATATCAAAATATTAAAATTAAAATATTAAAAATATTCCTATACCTCAATTAAGAAATTATTTTTAAAACTCATAACCAAACACATAACTCAAAACTCCATACTACTTTTACAACTTTACACTCAAATCATAACCAAATACATAACAAAAAAATTAAAATATATAAAAATATTTTTATAAAATAGAGTTCGAATTTATTTTTATAAAATATTTTAAAATTTTAAAAATTAAAATCATAATATTTTGAAATTAAAATATTTAAAAATATTCAAAAATTAAAAAATTAAAAAAATCGTAACATATTTAAATATTAAAATATTTAAAATCTTAACAAAATTAAAATATTTTTAAAATATTGATTTGAATTGAGTTTTGAAAAGAGTTTTGAATTATGTGTTTGGTTATGAGTTTTAAAAAGTAATGATTATGTTTTGAATTGAGTTTTGAGAAATAAGTATAAAATTATAATTTGAAAGCTCAAAACAAACAATACGCTCAAATCAATGGGTGGAACTATAATTTGAGAATTGTGCCAAACGGAGCCTTACTTTTTCATTTTCTGTATTTTTTTGTTTTCACTAATTTTTTTTTAATATTTTAAGCAATTTTTTTAATTTTTAGACACACCTAACATAAATACACTTAGAAAGTATAATATTTGTGAAAAAAAATCTTTAAAAAATTCACTAAATACAAAAATAAATAAATAAATATTCAGTACATTTTGTGTATTTATTAATTTTTTATAATATTTTTTTCACAAATAATTTACTATTTAGATATATCTAAGTAAGGCATGTCTAAAAAAGTAAAAAAATTGCATAAAAATTAAAAAATATTCACTAAAAACAAAAAAATATAAAAATCAAAATATTCAATTTTTAAAAAACTGAATTTAAAAAATTGAAACTAAACACATTGAATAATGTTTATTGATGTGCACTTAGCATGACGACTCAACAAAACATCCACCTAGATGTTCAATCCCTCTAATCCAAACGGATTATTTCTGAATATTATCTTCTTATTCAAACTACTAATTCGCTCATCCAAACACTTTTATAGTCTAAACGGGCTCTCAATACAAACTTTCATTTTACAAACAAACATGATATTGTTCCTCTCCAACCAACTAACAATCCAGTCCGGAGGTCCACTTTGGAAAACAAACAAAGCCAAAATGTACAACGGAAAATACTTCGTAGCTCGAAATTGGTGGCTCGAATACCCAAAACGACGTCATTTTGGGTATTCTTTTTTTGTTTTTGCTTTTCTTTCGAACACAGAGGGAAGGGAAGAGGAGGGAGGGAGAGGGAGAGAGAGAGAGAAGAGAAGAGGAAGAGAGAAGAGGCGATGGCGGTGATGCCGGTGGCGACTTAAAGGTAGGACTGGTTCCATTTGCTCCCTTGCCTACTCTGGATCGAGAGAGGGCAGTCGCTCTTCCTTCTGCTAAGCCCAATCGAGTGAGGCGGTGATGTTGGTGATACCGGTGGCGACTTAAAGGTAGGACTGGTTCCATTTGCTCCCTTGCCTACTCTGGATCGAGAGAGGGCAGTCGCTCTTCCTTCTGCTAAGCCCAATAGTTGTTGTTGTTTAGACTTTTTTTTTTTTTTTTTTCTTCAGGCAGATCTGGATCTGAAAAAAAATAAAATAAAATTGTTGATGATGATAATGTGTTGATGATGATGATGATGATGACGTTGATGAAGATTCAACCCTTTAACTTCTTGTGTTCTTTTTCTTCTCTCTGGATTTGGACTGAAAAAGTCTTCTCTCTGTATGTGTTTAGATATTGTAATAGTATAGATATTCTTCACAATGTCCCAATTTTTCCGTCTCATTTGTGATTCTTGTGTGTGTGTGTGTTTTTTTAAATTATTTTTAGTTTTTTGTGTTGAACTTTTGATCATATATGTGGATGTATATATATATAGATCTGGTTTTGATGATGATGATGTTTTGGTTTAAATTCTCTCTTTCTTCTCCCTTTCCTCTTCTCTTCTTTCTTCTCTCTTTCCTCTTCTTTCTTCTTCTTCTTCTTCTTCTTCTTCTTTGTTGAAGAAGAGAAGACATAGATCAGACACATATCAGAAAAAAAAAATATATATATATATATCAACACGACGTCGTTTTGATTTTCGGGCCAGTCGGGCCAAGCGGATTTCGAGTTACGTAGCGGGGTCGATGTACAACACAGCAAAGTGGGATCCACTTCTTAACACAATACAGTCAGATCAGTAAAATATTAATAAAAAAAAAAAAGGACCCAAAAGGCAAATACCAAAAAAATAAAATAAAATATAATCTAGAAAGCCATTTTGTGAATGGAGTTTGAATTCAACTTGTATTCGACTCATTAAAAATTCGTTTGAGATTGACTTATTATGTAAACAAGTCAAATTTATTACACAATTTTAAACTTGATAAATTTTCAAGCCGAGCTTAAATAATATATTACTCAGCTCGATAAGTTTATATGCACTGTAAAAAATCAAGCTATTTGAACTCGATTTGAGCTCAACTCATTAAAAACTTATTTGTAATTCGTTTGTTATATAAACAAGCCAAACTTAAACATAACTTTAAGCTTTTTAAGTTATCAAAACAAATTTGAACAACCTACTACTTAACTTGACTCGGCTCGTTTCAACCCAAGAACCCAGGCTTGATTCTATCCCTGGCTTCCAATGAATCAATCTTTCTTCTACCCTGTGGTTCAGTATTTCACATTCACTCCCTTATCAAAACTATATTCCATACTGCAATTTCCATAACAGAATAAAAAAATAACGTAACTTGGAAGCCACATAACGGGAAACTTTTTGCATAAAATCTATTTAAAAAGGGATTTAGAAAGAAAAAAGAAAAAGGTAAATAAAATGTGAATAAAATGTCTATATTTTATCTAGTTTCACACATATTTTCCCTTTCTCTTTCCTTTTACAAATTCATTCTCAAATTTCTCAATCAAATATAGCATAAGCAAATAAAAACTTTACACAAAAATAATAAACGTACTATTTCAACTCAAATATTTTCGTCCTTTGTTTGAATTTATTTCCCACATATACGCGTATTCAAATACCAAATGAGGAAAGATACTTTCAGAAGTTACCCATAAAATCAGATAAATCACTCTTCATTGATTTGAGAACTGGCTGCTTCCATCATACCGTTGCGTATCTGATCCCCAATATCCCTAACATGACCAGGACCATGTGGTATAAACACAGTTGTGTTCTTTGATGAGTTCCCGAGATCCTTGATTGTGTCGAAGTATTGGGTGATCATTATAAGATCCATCACCTCCTTCGCTGACGTGCCCTCCACCTTGTGAGAGAAGTTCAAGATGTTCTCTCTCAAGCCGTCTGTTATTGCCTGCCTCTGCCTTGCCACGCCAACCCCACCTAGGTACTTGGCTTCAGCCTCAGCTTCTGCTTTTTTAACTTGGAGAATCTTCTCTGCTTCACCTTTGTACACACTTGCAAGCTGAAGCCGTTGAGCTGTAATAAAATAGAAGGCATTGCTTAGTCATGTCCAGGTCAACTCATCCCTTGGAGTCTAAGAAACACGGTCATGGTAAACAATGATTTTGAAGAAAATTAGGATAAGGATACGGATAATACAGTAAAAAATAATAGTACACACGGGTTTGTGAAGTGTCTTGAGGCATGTCGAAACATAGCACACATGTGCTTGTGAAGTGTCCCCAACATGTCTGTAAAAAATAATATTTAAAAATTCAACATGTCACGTTCCGTGTCCGACACATGGCGTGATGGTGTCCAATACGAGTCAGGCACAGACTCAACACCCCATTTCGAAGTGTGTTTCTTAGCGTGGAATGATAGGGCATAGAATCAATTAGCCAAATTTGGGGATTATTCACAGATTTGCAATATTCTAAAATTCAAAACTAATTACAAATGCATCAATAAATGGAAAATTAAATTCCAGTGAAAATATAATAGTTTTATGAGGATGAAAGTGCTAAGTCTACTGTCCGAAAGCTCCTAACCTGCATTGATCTCATTCATTGCCCTGCGCACAGAGGGATCAGGTATTATATCAACCATCAGTATGTGCTCTATGTTGTATCCATATGCTCCCATCACCTGATCCATGTAATAAACTTTAAACTAGCATTCAAAACAAGGTTCCCTGATGCCAAAAACACATAAGTTAAGCTACACAAGCTTGATACTAATGTCATGTTTACAAAGTGAAACCATCTCAAGCTATCCAAAAAAGAATATCCAGAAGTAAAACCTACAAATATTTACATACATATATATACTATTATATAAAGTGAACACCCAAAGTTGTCATGCTTTTTTGATTTCTCAATTTGCCCCAAAATAAGGCCACATTCTAGATGGATGTAACCATCATTCGCTTTTGCACATGCATCGCATGTGTGCACAATTGCTATTATATGTGTGCGCGCGCTATCTGGGAGTTCAAAAGAAACTGGAGTAAAATCTAGTTTACGATCCATACTGACCAAACAATGTATTTATCTGTTTGAAAACATGAAACAATGCAATCCAAAATTCCTCATTTCTTTCCCTTTTTTCTCTAAGTTACATACACAAATAACACCGAACATGAATTTAGTCAGAATAAGAACTTTTTTTGGGGAAAACACACAGGCAATATATGTAAAAGAATGTATAGATACGCCTATGCAACCATGGGGTGTTTCGGGAAGATGATAAAAAGTGACTTTTTGACTTTTAACCAAGCTTTTTGGCTTTTTCAAAAAGTCATTTGGGAAGATGGTAAAAAGTTACTTTTGGCTTTTTTGCTTAATATTTTTTTATGTTGTCACATCACCATGCCTTACTATAAATTGACCAAACTACCCCAATCCCATTTGGTGAAGTGTTTCTGCGAACCTAAAGTGAACGGGGAGGGTATATTTGTAAATTGCCATATTGTGTTTAAGCTGCTTTCCAAATGGGATTCTGGACAAAAAAGCCAACGTTTGGCTTTTTACCAAAACGCACAAACGCTGCTTTTTACCACATACCCAAACCAGGCCCATTTCATAATTTGCAGACAGTATAAAAATGAGAATGGCAGAACTCAGATAAACTGTAAGTCTATTCATTTTGAATGTAGGGGACCTTTTGAGGTATCAAAGGGAGACAAAACAAATATCACAAGTTCAATAATATTGCCGCACAAATTAAGTGTTTAGATCACTGGCCTTTTCCATGTGGTGAGATGATAAAGTTGGCTAGCAAATATCATTTACCCTTGCCAAAACCCAATCAATCATTTGCGCGAGATCTTTATTTTTGAATTGTCAGTTGCTCCATTTATTAAGGTTATGGATCAGAGATTGAAAGACAGGTGTTCATAATCAAAATAGATATGAGATCTCTGAGAAGTTGACATTTCAAATATACAGAATGCAACATACAAAAGTGTCAAATCTTGACATACACACAAGCTGACCTTGTTAGTAGGAATATAGGATGAATGTCAGATAAACAGATGGAATAATAAAGGTTACTGGAAAATACTCAGGACCATTCCAATCTACACATTCCATCTCCTGGACAGAGCACAATACTTACATGATATGACTCACTGAATTTCAGATTAATTTCATTACATGACAAAGGCATACTTTGTTGAAAGCGTAATAACTCTTACCATAAACTAACATAATACTGAAAGACCTTTCTGCAACATGTTGGACACTTACAGCACCAATACGAGGTTTCTGAATGAATTTTTTGGGTTATACAAAAAGGTCAATTACTGAACCTAGCAAGCACTATATGTTTAAATGAGTGGTCATTGCAAAGAGCCAGAACAGCTCTCTCAAAATAACTAATCATATTAGTAAAAAGTTCATATATTACACAATTATCTGCAAACCCAACTGGGAATCAGAACTAACTCAAGTCGTCTGTGAAGATAAGTGACATAATGCTACAATAGAAGCAGGCAACTAAGAATAGGAAACCAAACTGGATTGAGGGGTAAAACTACCATCCCAAAAATTAATGGGGAATTGGTTGAAATTTGAAACTAGCATATAAAACTTAAAATAGTCGAAACATGATTGACATACATCAAATGCCCCTAACAATATAATAGGTTTGGTTCTTCTGCCTAATCACAGCTCGGGGTTGCAATGTCTTTATAGACAAGTTGTACTGGTGAGCTTTTGGGTAGCCTGTGGACCCAGACACCAGTTTTTCCTTCTGCTTCCTATCTAATCAACCTTACAAGGTTTCATTACACAAAATTTACTTAATGGTGGATGTGCATCTACCTTCAGGCCTTCACATAATTAAGATTCCAAAATATAAACTACAGAAACTCTGGTTCCCAAACACCAGCTTTGCAAATAACTTTCACAACTCTGGATGTGGGAATAATTAGTGAAATCTATCAAAACAAGCATATACCTATACCCTTATAATCTTTCAAATCCCAGTCACCAGAATGGACAATTGAAAACAAGTAACACAACTAAGCAATCGAAATGACAGTTTCCATAAATAAATAAATAAATAATTTCTTCCCATAAACAATGAGTAATTTCTAACAAGTCATAACAATTCAATAACAGCGTAAGCAACAACCAACCTTCTCAAGTTCCTCCAAAACAGCTTGAGCGACATCACCTTTTTGCTCAAAGAGCTCATCAAGAGTCATTCTTGGAACATGAGCTCGAACCACTGAAGAAAAAAATAGATGCACCATCAGAATAGAGGGAAGGAAAAAGGGAAAAATATAAAATTGGGAATATGTTTGCTGAATAATGTAAATTACCATCAAAGACGTAAGCTTGAATCTGTTCCTTGGGATTTTGCAACTCATAAAATGCGTCATCAGCATTTTCTTTAATGACTCGGTACTGAATTGAGCAAAGCAGTTGCACAAAGACATTGTCCTGCAGAGGAAAAAAATAAATCAATAACCCTATCAACAACTACGGCACCATCTCCTAAAAATTCATCATACGCTTTCAGCTTGAGTGTGGATTTTATGAAATTATATTTTAATTAAGCAATGATGTCCCTTTACATCTAGTTGCCAATGAATCGAGTTAAGGTTCAAACGAAAGATAAGATGTATATGAATCAGACAGACAGCCTACTTCTTGGGCATACACTGCTGCCTAGAGGAATAACAGAGTAAATGTTAATTTAACAATTTTGAAACACAGAAAGGCCACAATGAATACTGTTGAAAAGATGACAACAGAAAACATTTCAATTCATCTGAGTTATAATTAGACAATTGTACTCTTTCTTTTTCTTTTTCTTTTTCTTTTTCTTTTTCTTTTTTTTCTTTACTCAACTTTGCCGGGCACTACTTGCCTCAGTTATCAACCATAACACTATTTATGTACGGATTTAAGGATTTGAAACAAAAAGATTTGACACTAATCATTCTAGGAGAATGAATTGAATTTATATTTTATAGTTTTGATATGAATTTCGAGACTGAATTTGAGAGCTCGGTCTTGGTGTATTTGAAATAACAATGTAAAAGTGGTTGTTCAAAGTCTTACATACAAAGGGTTCCAATTCAACAAGGATTTCATAAAATAATTCTCTTCTACTAACTCTAATTTATTTCCCTTTAGTTTCTCAAAAAATAAATCTCTAATAGTTTAATCTCCATATATTTTAATAAAATTCGACCTCAAATTCATTAATTCCAAATCCATCATCCAAAAGCAACCTAATTTTCTTAACTCAGCACAGCACAGCACAGCAATCATAAGCAGAATCGTGAGTCAACAACGAAAACAACGATCACGAGACCAAAGCAACAATCATAAATTGCTAAAATAAATCGGAATTAAGATAAAGCGAATTCCGATCTCCATCGGTTTCAATAAAAAAATACAATATTGCGAAGATTCATGAAAATGTTTGTGGATTGGATTAAAATGAAAGTAAAATTGAAAAAAGTAGGGTTTAGTATAGTATAGACCTTGGTTTTGGTCTCGATGCGTACATCGAGAGAGCTGATCCTGGTGGAGAGAACGCCGGCGAGGCATTCGCCGGCGAAAGGGTTGAAGAAGTGGAAACCAGGTTGGGCTAGCTTCTGGAATCTTCCCCAACTCTCCACCACGCCGATGTTCGCTTGGTCTACGCATCCACAAAACAGACAGAACGTATTCCCCATCTTCTTCTTCTTCTTCTTCTTCGATCCAACTCAAACACAAACCGACTTCGCGGGTCCTCAAGGTTATTTGTTATATATAAAGATATTTATTTTGGGCCCATCTTAAAAATTAAAAAAAAAAAGAAAAAAAAAGAAGAAGAAGATACTAATTTTGGGTTAAATTACACTAATATCCCTTCAGATTTCAAGAAATATATTTAGCCCCCTTTAATTTGACATAATATATGTATATATACCCCTATAAAAATTTAATTCACATAACACTTAATTTATTTTTATTAATAATTTATTAGCCATACTGATTAAAAAAATATTTTTTTATATTAAAATATATGTTTTACTCTTATTTATTCTGGTGCCAACACAATTTTAATTGTTTGTCTTTATTAAATAAAAATGATGAATTATATCGACTTCTATTGAGGTTTGAAAGAAATATAGTCAGTCTCATAGTTATGACATAATTAAATTGAGCTCTTTTAAAATTTTAATTCATATAACACTTAGACTATTTTTGTTAATAATTTGTTAGTTATATAGATCAAAAAATAATGTTATATCTTTTATATAAAATTGTATGCTTTGCGTTATTTATTTTGTATTTTCGTACCATCTGCATTAGTTTCAATTATAGGTGTGCGTGGTATAGTTCGGTGCCGTTTAAGGGTAAAATTATAAATCAAACCATGAATGACGGATTGACATATAATCAAACCATGGTTTGAGAGATTTCAACTTATTAGTTGATTGAAGAATAAATTTAAACAATTGTCAAGAATTTGCATAGTATAATACTAATTTTGGTGAAGCACCAATAAATCCAAAAATGTGATCTTGTGAACGGTTTAGTCCTCTCTTTTTTCGTATAAACTCAAAAGTCTCATTAAAGTGAAAATTACATAAAAGAGTAGTCACTTATATATTTGGGTTTAATTTTTTAGAAATAAAAGTGATTTTCTCAAAATGTAAAATTACACATTTGGGCAATTTGAACTATAGAAGTTTTAGATTTTCCCTCATTCTAGAACAAATCCCATATTATGAACAAAAAACCTAACATTCTAATGTAAAACTCTAATAACGTAACACTTCAATGTAACACACTAAAAAAAATTTTGGTGTACTTTTCTCAAACGTAACAACGTAACACTCAAAAAAATTCTTTGATATACTTTTCCCAAACGTAACGCTCCAATGTAAAAAAAATTCTTAGTGTACTTTTTTCAAATGTAACACTTTAATCAGTGTAATCTCAAACACTTCAATGTAACATAATCCAACAAAAAAAACTCTTTAGTGTACTTTTTTCAAACGTAACACTCACAGTTTGAAATTATACATTTGTTCAAAACTTATTAAGGAATATTTGTACTTCTTTTGGAATGGTTTGAAGAATCTCACATTCTTTTCTTTTCTTTTCTTTTTTAGTGTTATATTGGAGTGTTATGTTTAGGAAAAATACACTAAGAAGTTTTTTTTTATTTTTATGTGTTACATTAGAGCGTTACATTTGGAAAAAGTACACCAAAGAGTTTTTTTTTGTGTGTTACATTAAAGTGTTACACTAAGGAATTTTTTTGGAGTGTTATATTGAAGTGTTACGTTTAGAAAAAGTATACTAAGGGATTTTTTTGATTAAAATGTTACACTAAGGAATTTTTGTGTGTTACATTACAGTGTTACACTAAGGAGTTTTTTTAGAGTATTATATTAGAATGTTACATTTGGAAAAAGTATATCAATAAGTTTTTTTGTATGTTACATTAGAGTATTACACTAAGGAGTTTTTGTGTGTGTTACGTTAGAGTGTTACATTAAGGAGTTTTTTTGTGTGTTATATTAGAGTGTTACGTTTGAGAAAAATACACTAAGGAGTTTTTTTGTATGTTATGTTAGAGTGTTACACTAAGAAGTTTTTGTATGTGTTACATTAAGGAGTTTTTTTGTGTATTATATTAGTGTTACGTTTGAGAAAAATACACTAAAAAATTTTTTTGTGTGTTATATTAGAGTGTTACAATAAGAAATTTTTTTAAGTGTTACTTTAGAGTGTTATACTAAGGAATTTTTTTTGGAGTGTTACGTTTGAGAAAAATACAATAAGGAGTTTTTTTTTTATGTGTTACATTAGTGTTACGTTTGGATGTTAATTAAAGTCAATGTTACAATAGTGTGACAACTCTCACCACTGATTAGTGCTAATCGATGATTAAGCATGATAAGTAATTAAACAGACTGAAATTCTCAACTGAATGCATGAGTAGGTTGCTTGATTGCATTTTCTATCTGTTTGTCATAAATTGATATGTTTATGTTTTTAGTTTCGAATTGCGAATTGAAGGCCTTATCGGCGGCCGATTAAGAAATTGTTTGGTATTTTATGCTAATTAGACTTTATGTGATTTTATGGTAAATTTAATTTGAAATTGATTTGGTATGATTAAATTAGATTAAATAAAGTTAAAATACATCAACTTGAATTAATTGCATTTTTGCCACTAAGTGGACCACTTTAGAAGCATTGTGGGAGTGTAGTTCATACCAATTGATGCATCTTTACTTCAGCCACTTCCTAGGCCAAAAACGTGAGAGAGAGCTAGAAAGTTAGGAGAAAACTTGAGTTCATCAAATTTAGCTTGGGAACTAGAAGAAATTGAAGAGAGATCGCATAATTGAGCTTCTATACCTAAAATTGAAGACCTAAGGTAGGATATTTACCTTATTGTTTATGAATTCAAGTCATTTCTTGCATGATTCATGGAGGAATAGGAGCTTAAGGTCAAAAATTAAATTAAAGTGTTGAATTGAGGCTTAATCCATGCATGCATGTACATATTCTTGTATTTTGAGGTTGTTCTTCATGAATTTCCACATGCATGTTCATGTTTTTGTTATAGTCCATGAATTCACCATAGTTTTGATCAAGTTTTAGAGCACTAGAGTTTATAAGAGTTCTTGCATGTTATGTTTTTACATAATTCATGAAAACTTCTTTGAAATGGTGTTCAATTGACTCACCCTTGGGCTTTGATCTTACAAATTGATCTTCAAAACATGTTATATTGTTGGTTTCCAAGTGTTTCCAGAAAATTGGCCCAAAAGATTGAGTTTTGATGCGTTGAATGCTTGGTTTGAGCTTGGGAAGCAAATCTGGAAATCCCAGATTTTGGCTTCCATGCTCGAGCGAAGGATTCTACGCTCGAGTAACCGTCTTTTGTTCAGAGCTCTGCTTAAGCGAAGGAATGCTTTCTTGAGCGTAGATTGCAAGCTCTCAGATTTTTGGTGCACGCAGACGCACGCTCGAGCGAGAGAACCTACGCTCAAGCGAGGACTGTGTCTCACACTCGAGCGAGCGTCGAGTGGAGATTTTCAACATCCAACATTTTTTGCATTTTTACAGACCGCTCGAGCGAGGAAGTCCACGCTCGAGCGACCCCACTGTTATGACAAGCTCGCTCGAGGGAAGAAAGCCACGCTCGAGCGAGACCCCTGTTTTCTGAAAATTTTGAAAAGTGTTTTAAAGTACATCTTTGCATCCTTATTTCATCATAGGCATTCATAGACCTAGTTTAAGGCATCTTAATGAGGTTATTGATGCAGAACCACATCGAGTCAAGATAGGGACTAAGTTGTTGATTCCCAAGTGTGTAACTTAGTGTGTGTTCGTTCTGTAACTGTGTAGGGTTGGCATCCGAGGACGCTCATTAGCTGCCTATAGCCCAGTGCTCTGTGAGTAACAATGTTGTAAAGATATGTTCAATCATGAATATTTTCTGAATGATCTACTGTACTGCTTTCTGAAAATGTTATTTCTTACTAAATGAATGTTTGTCCTATTTGTGCACTGAATTCGTGGCATCCATAGCAATCTACTGTTACTGTACTGTTACTGCTACTGTTATAGAGATCTCTATCGGTTCCCATGTTTGGAACCACTATTGTTTATTGTTATGATGGCCATCAACTGACTGCTCGGTCTGTTAAGACCTATTATATTGTTTTGCTATGGGATGCACCATATGTGACTGCTATGGTTTCTAAGTGACTGATATGACTGTTTATTTACTGAAAAGATATTCATTCTTAATCTCTTTACACAACTGTTATTCACTGGGCTTTAGCTTACTGTTTATATTTATATGTAGGTGTTCAGATACCGGATCGATGCTAGGAGCATCGGGTTAACTCCCTTTTTGTCAAGCCAACCATTGTGCCTCACCTCGAGGTTCCAAGTTTGACCGAGCTAAGACTGTTTTAGGGTGTCTCAGTTTCACCCTTCTGTCTCTGTTTTGTAATACTGTTTAAGACTTGTACTGTACTGTGCTAGTTAGGGATTTGGTCCCTAACCTAAATGTTTATACATATGGTGTATATATGTTTTGCTTATGAATGTGAATATGTTCGGAAAAGTCTTTTGCATACAGACTGTCACAGCTCATTGAACATTTATTATTACTGTTTTGGCTTCTGCCAGCCCCTGTACTCTGTATTACTGTCTTTACTGTTAAGCAGGCCTTTGGTAATCACGGATTACTGGCCGGTTACGATGCTAAACCCATAGGGACAGGTTTGGGTCGTGACAAATAGAGACGAACACCACAAAAAGAAACAAACGCCACATCAATAACACTACAAACAGGGTAACATCATCTACCTACAAATCACTCCATTAAATCCCTACAAAAAAATAGAAACATAAAAACCTACTTTACCCACGCACACCCAACATTAGGAAAAAAAATCTAAACAAAATCACATACAAGGGCAAACAAGTAAACATTCAAATCTCCAAATCAAGGAAATAACGTACCCAAAATTAAAATAACTAATTGGTTTGAAAGAAAACTTCCAAGACTAAATAGAATAACTTTTCTTTGAATGGAATTTATGAATAATTTTTCCTACTAATTTTACATGACATTTTTCATATATATAATATTAATTTGCAACAAATTCATATCTTAAATCTCTCATTTACTGATTATTTTTTTCTTTGATATTTCATTGGAGACAAAATATATATATAAATATAGCGAGGTGAGTCGTTTTCAAACTGCGGATCAA